CCAAAGTCAGCACAAAGCAGTTCTTTGACTTGGCGCCCAATGTGTGAAGCTTCTCCATCCTGCATGAAGAGAAACTGCAAACATCGCCGTTACAGTAAAGTAAGAATGACCTGCTGTCAAAAAAGTTCACTCTTGTGTGCACTCGTGACAGAACAAGTTTTAGAACCTTGTTGTTGTTGTTAATTTGCGTCGCACTAGAGCTGCACAATGGGCTATTGGCGACGGTCTGGGAAACATCCCGGAGGATGATCCGAAGACATGCCATCACAATTTTGATCCTCTGCGGAGGGGATGGCACCCCCGCTTCGGTAGCCCGACGACCTGCGCGCGAAGTCGAGCACTTTACGGTAGCACAGTTTAACGAGGACCAATACCGCACACCCTCGGTCCCTACGCAGACTGATCCAAGTGGTCACCCACCCGCACACTGACCGTAGACAGTGATGATTGACTTCGGTGATCTGCTGGGAACCGTGTCTTAACGATCAGTCCACTGCGGGACTTTAGAACCTTGAGGAGTGAGAGTTTCAAAGAAAAACAGCCCGAGGATAAATTCAGCAGTAAGCTCACACCATGCAGTCACGTAATCATCAGAATGCAATGGTTGTTGGTGCCCAGAATTAGGAGGTGAAACGCTCCATACGCGGCAGTTTTGAGTATTCACAGCTCCATCTGCAGAAAAGTGCGCTTCATCTGACCATAGAATTTGTCCAGGCAATGCGTCATCAACTTCCATTCTCGAAAAGAATTTGCAAGGAAATTCAGAGCGTTAGGTGGCCTTGAGGGTTGCAGCATTTGCACCACGTAGATCATATACGAATGCATGGATTTTAGCCCTCTTCCTGGCAGCACAACCGAGTCTTCATCAGTCTCATCAAATTTCGTAATCATCTTCAACCCATTCTTCGACATGGGCCTTTTCGCAATCCTTCTATACTACGATATTCACTCTGAGCAGCTAAACTATTGCTACTGTTCTGATGAGACAATTTTGCCAGTAAAGCGAGATCTTTCGTGTGTAAAAGCATGATTAGGGATGACACAGGCAAGCAGAATAATTTTCTGACTCTACCTGCAAGTCTCTTTAAAAGTTTGACTAATTTGTATAAGGAATTTTTTGAAAAATACCATCTGGTGATCAAAATTTGAACCCCTTTTTATTGCAGAAATCGTTTCCATATAATTAATATACCAAGTTTCGGAAATATGCAATAAGTAAAATGAGTTTCTAGATGAGTCTGAATAGGGTCACTTTAATTATAACCACCCTACTATACAATAGTAAATAGTTATAACTATCTTGTTTCATCATAATAATTCATTAATATAGGAATGCTTGTACTAACACTTGTACTACCATTATTTCTTTATTAGAAAACAGGTAAGGTTGTTCCCCTTAAGATATTAAAAGTATGATTCATAATCTTTTAACATGTTTAAATTACTACAACAAAATCAAAGAATCTTAATTGTATGATTTTAGCAAAGTGTCAACCATTTATAATAACAGTTTGATGCGATAGTTTCAATATCAAATAAGACATAGCTATCATAGCTACTGAAAAAAAAATTTAAAATGTTCTTCTCTTTCTATATAATTTGAAAGAAGTATTTACAATGTTTCTTAACTTTTTAAACATGAGCTTTAAAATATTGCTCATTGCAAAATGAGTGCTGTCTTAAACCATTAATTTACAGTTTTGAAACATTTATTTATACTAAATATATAGATGTTTATGTATTCATTAAATTTTATGGAACTGACTCTATTCGTGATGGAGGAGTGTTTCTTTTCGTTAAGGCTCATTTAAAAAATGATGCGTTTTGCTTCTAGTTAACTCCATGAAATATTTATTAAGAAAAACTAAAAAAATAACGTATTTTTGATGGTTTAAATTTTGTTTTTTATTCATACATTAGTTATTATGACATGTGATTTAACAATTTGGTACACACTTTACAACGAAGTGTACCTTGTATCTGTGAACAAATATAGCACCAATCTGAAATTATATGTTGCCATAAATTGTGTATAACAATGGAATAAAAATGTAATGAAAAATTCTTTCAACTGGATATTTTTTAATAAATCACCAGCTTCATCTCATGGTAAAATTATTATTGGATCTTTTAAAAGGGAGGACATTGATGTTACTTGACATTGATGTTTCTATTGTGATATTTTTATCAAGTGTGACAAGTGTATCACAATTCACTCTAAATTGATAATGAAACAGTCACTAAAAAGTGTATATTCAATTTTAAAAAAACTTCAAAAATATCATCACTAACTTAAGTTTGCATAGCATGATGGTTAGTAGGCTAAGTTTGCATCATAACATGATGGTTAGTTGAACAGAAATAACTAGAAATGATACTTTGTTAAAAAAAGAAAAACAGGATTTATGCAATTTAAATTGTTTGGAGTTGAAAACAAGTGTGGAAAGAAGTTCCAAGAAATAAATAAAAAAGACCGACATTATTAACAAAACCATATCTACCAAGAGTAACTGAGTTGTCAAAGAAGAAAAAAATAGTAAAAGGTTTAAATATGGAAATAAACCAAGTTTTTATTCTTCATTACTCAACTTAGGATCAAATTAATATTTTATTGTTTAAAAATTTTTTAAATATTTTCATTCTTAAGGTGCTTTTTTTTAAAATTTCAAAATAATATTCAATTATGTTTCGATTAGAAAATTTTTATTGTTAATTAATTTTTTTTTTAAAAAAAACATGTTCATTGAAAAAATTTTATTCTCAATAAAACAAAAAAAAAAAAAAAAAACATTTTTATTGACAATTTTATCATTTTATGTTAATTTTAAATATTATATATTTATACCTCTTTTAAATTTACATGCTCTACTTTACTTATTTCTTTAAATCCTTTATAAAATTTAAATAATTATAAAGATATTAAATTTGAATAACTAATTTTTTTTGTAAAAATATAAAGGTAAAAGTGTCCTAAGTTCATTAATAATGTCAAAGAAAAAAATACCAACAGAAAAAAAAACTCATTATTGTAGAGCTCAGTATAGAAGGTACTAAGTGACACTTAAAATAAATTAAGATTTCCTAGGGAAAGATCTTGTTTTAATCATAACTAATTATGCATTGACTTAATTTGCTATTTCATTAAATTTCAGAGATCTCAGAGAGTGAATGCACTAAATGACAGCATTAGAGTGATTTTGGAGTGGTAAAAAATTTGAAGTCCATTAAAAAAAATAATGCTTATCTTCAACTTAGCTCTACAATTAATATTAAATTTCCAAACTTTCCTGAAATTCACAGTTGATTATCTGAAGCTCCTAGGCTTATACCCTCATTTCTAAACTTATAAACTTTTTACTTGTCTAGCATGTTCTGAACATGTTTAATCCTTTCACTGTCGGATTCTTTTTTCTTCTTGAATTTCCGACCCAACAAAAGCATTTTTTTTTATCGCTAAAAATTAATATATGCTGTATCCTAAATTCGAAAATGCAAAATATTTTTGGCAACAAGCAGTTTTTTGCTTGACCTATTGGTGGGGAAATATGTGATGTCCCATCCACTGATCTTCTGTTTTCCATGCAATGCACCCAAGTTTTATCTTAAAAATACATTGAGATAACATATTTATTAACATGATTGCTTTTGATTGTTTATAATTTAGATCATTTCGATTTATTAATTTTAATTTAATTGTAATTAAACATGCCTTCCAAACAAAATACAGTTGCACCAAAAAATAAATATAAAGTGATTTAGCATTTCAACTTACTAGAACGTTAAATCAATGAGAGCCCTAAGCTTTTTTCTTTGCAATGAGACGGTTCCATCTGGGGGTAATTGGAGACAATGATACATTACAAAAATTTATGTCACTACCTTCGAGGGCCCCTTTTTTTAAACAAATAAAATTTTAATGGAACACAGATATTTTTAATTTGGGGTATAAGTTCAGTTTCAATGAAATGGGCGGCCCGGTACCATTTGATCCACGGACCGGGGGCAGGGGAACACTGCTATACATCATAACTATTTTGACATGCAACGGTGACACTAATAAAAGCAAAATTACAGAAAGTACAAAATGATTTTGATTTCCATTCAAGATGAGAAATCTCACTGTAAAAATTGTAAAGAAAGTGGACTAGTTGTGCCATCTCTTAGCAATGTTCAGAAATACAAAAATAATTGCGGTATTTGAAGAGATGTGTAAGTAGCGACGAATTCAGTTTCAATTATGCAATTTTTCTCGTCACATGGCATGCGACACTGATCATACGGTCACAAAAGCGCCAAACATATGAGAAGCGACACCAACAGAGAAGGAGTTAATAGCAAAAAATAACAAATTTTAAGAATTCTACAAGTGGGATTGTAGGATACCATAATTAACCTTGCGGTAAATGTCCCCAAAAGAATTAATCAAAGCAATATAGTACTAGAATGAATGTGTAGCACATTCTTTTTAACCCATTGAGCATTAGGTTTTTTTTATTTTTCCACACTTAAAACTATTCTTTAATTTCATAAAAAAACAAGTTTCCTTTAATCTTGTTCAGTTAAAAACAGGTAAATTGACATAAAAATGTCATGCTAACTTGCCTGTACGCTAAATACTTAGAAGATTAAAAGCAATGCACACACATTTTTGCCCATTTGCTAACCACTGCTAATACTAAGCCATAAACAAAAAATTGTGGATATACATTTGCTATTTTTTTTTTTTTTTTTGTATTTAAAAAAAAACTAACGAATATTTTAAGATGCCATTTAAAAAAATTCCTAAATATTTTATCAAATTAATTTAAATGCACACACAATTATCACAATTTTTTGTAATCTTACACAATTAAATTAAAATTCATAATTTGTGCTGAACTTTTTATATTTTATTAAGAAAAAATTGTTTGTGACAAAAAGGTATTAGACAGTATACATTTCCCTAAAAAACAACTCATCCCATCCAAATGAAACTAAAGTTAAATAAAATGCATCCTTAATAACGCTTAAAATTTTATTACTTAATTACATTTATAACATTTCACCAAATTGAGTAACAAATGAGAGTATGAGAGAATACATATTATTTTTTAAAAATTGTTCAGAAGTTAAAATACAAAATGCTACAAATTTAACGAGCTTCCAGTGTTTTTTGTTACACGAGTTTTTCAATGAATTTACAAAAGCTGATCTTGTGTTATACTTAAAATTTCTAATGATGCTTATAGCAATTTTATATAAAAACTTGATTAGAATTTGTCTTAAGCTAGATTATTATACAAAATATTCTTTAACAAATACACAATACAATGATAATACACTGATACATACAAAACTTTCCCTCTATTTAACATTTTAATTGTAAGGAATATTTTAATCCATGATGTTTGCCTTTAGTAGCGTTATTTTTTCATTGATGATTGATTTAATTGTGAATTTTATTTGAACACGTAACTCAAAGCATGGGAAAAGTGACAGCAACATAAACTCTACTTTAATATTTCTTTGCTTTTTGAGAGAACTTTATGAAAACTGTCACAGAAAGCAACTCAAAAAGCATTCTTAAAACAAAGACCAGGAAAAAGAAAAAACAAGTTTACTTTTACACATATTCTTCATGTGTTTAGAAGTATCAGTCCTGATAAAACAGTTGTAACCCAGTTTAAAATAATTATAAACCGCAAATTGGGTTTAAAGCATTACTTAAACTTAGTATTTTAAAATAAAAACAGAAGCTATAAATTTTCTAGATAGAAAAAATTCTCACGTCACTGGCAGACAATAAATATTTAAGAACTTAAAATACAATTTTAAATTTAAATTTTTTTTACACAAGTTTAAATTAATATAAAGGGCAACCCTAACTTAATTAGACACTTTTCGATCATTATATGCACAGAAACTACCAAGTTGAGTAAGGGACACAGCTGATACAAAATTAGTTATTATATTTAAAATAACTAATGTTTTGTAATTCTATTAATATTTTGTATGCAAAGTTGAGAAAAAATATGTTACAAACTGTGTTATAAAACAAAACAACTGTAAACTTATACAAACTCAAAGACCGCAGGAAAAATATTCAGAGTAATAAGTGCCATTTAAAAATATTGTTTAAAATTACTATTTAAACAAATCATATTCTTAAAGTAATATCAATTAATTCTATTTATTTTCAATAAATTATCATTTATAGCAATTAAAAAGTAAGCATCAAAAACTTTAAATATTTATTTTTAAAAGACATAATTTCAGTTGACATAAAAGAAGTTATAACTTCCTTAATAACTCGTTTTTCTACTTTTATGCAAGAAAAAACATTTTTTGAGAATTGTACACAATCAAAAACTATAGCTTTCACTTCCTTCAATATAAGACAATCAAAATGGCAGATGCTATTTCATATCCAATACAATTTATGTTTGAATAAAAATTAACCAAAATAATAAGATTTCTTTTATCAAACAATGGATTTGAAAGTTACATTGAGCATCCCTGCAATTGTCAAATCAGAAGTCATTTGGTAAAACATGGGAGTCAGCCAACACATTAAACTCACTCCTCCTATTCCATCAATATGAAAACTTATGTTTGAAAATTTTTCCTTTTATTTAAGTTTTTATTTTTAATCCTTATTTCTGAATTAAGTTATTACTAATTACCAACAAACTAAATTTTGCAACAATTTTCGTTTATTTAGGAAAAATTCATTTTTAAAACAATACAATTGTTGCACTTTATTAAAAAAATTATATTAATAACAAAAATATTTAAAATAATTATTCTACAATCTTTTCCGAATCTTTTTTTCACTTAAATTTTTATTAAATAAGAACTTTAAAAATATGTGCTTGAGACATTAAGCTTTAACTTGACCCATCATTTTTATTTATGAGCTAAATTCTTTTTGCAAAGTAAACACTAATTTTTGTAAATTGATTTTGATAGCAATCACTAACTGATATCTGTATTCTGCATTTTTAACATCTTATTCAACAAAAATATTAAACAATAAAACAAAATTACAACCAAATAAAATAATGGGGAGAAACAACAGAAGTTATAAAAATCTTATTCTAAATAATCAGTTTCTTGTTTTAAATATTATTCCAAATATTCAGATTAAATACTAAAATTTTTCACCATAGAAAAAACTGTGTAAATAGAATCTATGTTGTAGTTCTTCAAGTTACAATGAAGAATGAGGAGTAAAACAGTAAAAATGAGAATCAATAATTCACAAATTTTTAAAAATCACAAATTATTTATAAGCAGAATGATAATAATAATAAAATATTAACATTTTATTTTGAAACAATGTTTAATTACTGCATTGTAGCAGGGGTCTTTCCAATAATACAATACAAAAGCAGGAATTAGGAAAAAATTTCTTTTGACCAATGTAAAAAATAAAATTTCATTCATAAACAAATCTTTTGAAGAAATATATCCATCAACTAGCAAAGTACATATTTTTAGAATTAACAAATGAATTTTTAGAACCAACATATGAAGCATCACTAATAAATATTTAAGTATGACACAGAAACAATATAAAACTTTGGCAAATCTTGATTGAAATCAATATTAGTAAAGTTGAAATTGGAGCCTTAAAAACCAGTTTATTTGTTGAATGAAATTAAAAGTGGCTTTAATTACTTCTAATAGATAAAATAACCACCAGAAATGCCTTTCTGTTAATTCCAAGTCAAAGAATTCTTTGAGTATATGATAGGAAAAAAATGATATGTAGTACTCTGTATGCTCAGATCATAAAATTGTAGCACTACACATGAAAATAGTGCAAATAAAAAAAATATATAACCTAACGCAATAAAAAACAACACAACTAAAGTAAACACATTGTAACAAAATAAAACAACTTTTTTGTATGGAATGACTTCATATAAAATTAAACAAGCAAAAAAATGTTCTAATGCACAAAAATGAAAGAACATTCAATGATAATGGCCTAAATAACTTATTAGTTTTACAATGAACTCATGTTTTTCAGTACAACATGAAAATAATACAATTTTCTGAAACAGAGAAACTATCTTATATATATAACATTGCACTTTATAGGTTCAACATTTTTTTCAACCACACCAAACATTTATCACATCCACCAAACAAATCAAGGAGTTGACTGAGTTTATAAAAAACTTATCCTTGTACAGGAACTTGCAAAGCTAAAAAGAAACATTAGACACATAAATAGAAGTATATGTGAGCATACATCTGCCTTAATTTAATAATAAGCATCATTCTCAGAGTAGAAAAAAAGAGTTATTACAAAAGTCCAATGTAACAAGCATAGAACAAAAGATTTTTATTTCAATGAATAATTTGCAAAGCATTATCAAAAAGCTATGTATCACCAATATTAAGCGTTTACACCAAGTTTATTAAAACATTACATATATTGTCAATAGAATTTGAAAGAAAACATTTTATTCCTTAGCATTTGGTCATTGTTCCCTTTTAATCCTAACCAACTGCTTTTAAACATTTTGAGTGGAAACATCTGTTGCAGCCATGCTTGCCCTCACACGATATTCCCCAGAGTTCCTAAACCTTTTGTGTTTTTGCATTTCTAATAAAAAAAATAAACTGTTGCCAACAACATCGTTCTCCCCATCCACACACTTTTTTAACTTTCTTTTTTCAATATTTCTCGGTTGATATTATTTTTGATGAAATCAGCTACTAATAATTAGACAAAAATACAGACAAGAATTGTCATTAGCTAAAGCAGTTGCGTTTGACGCAGTAGAATTCTGAAAGTGAAATAAAACTCAGCATTGTGAAAAGAAAAACTTTAACAATTAAATAAAAATGCAAAATAAATATCATTTCGAAACATGGTCGCCAATTGCAAACAAACATATACTAGATGCAAGTATTATAATGATGAAACGATTATGAAAAAAAGCAGAAATTTGACTCATCCTTGAAGTTAAGTAGAGGAAAATGTGGGGAAGGATGGAATTTTTTTCCCCGTTTGCCCAGAGAAACGTCATTTCTTCTGTGACCTTGAAGATCTTTAGATCGAGAGGGGGCAAGGAAGGGAGGAATGTTTTATTTTCTCCTGTAGGTCAGAAAGAATTGTTTTTCTGATAAGCTGCCGTCAATCGAACTCAAAGGAGAGGCATGCTGATTTTGTTTTCTCTTTGATTTACAAAGAGGTGGGGAAAATGCATTGCACATGCACATCAGTGAACAGAAGATGAAAGAGAAATGAAAAAGAAAATTATTTATCCATTTGACACTGATCAACAAAACCATATTTTTCTTTTGAATAAATTCTGATTCTTTAAAAGTGTGGTATCATTTGCAAGTTTTTCTTGATGTGGAATCACATCTGCTTTCTTTAAAAATCATGTTTTTATACAAAAAATAAATAAAAGGAGAATTGTTTATTAATTTAAACATAAGATTATTTTATGAAGCAGATTGCAGTTTTCCTTTTCTGATTTCACTACGTTTGAGCTTTTTTTTCTTTTCTTTTCACAATAAATTTTGTACTCAATAAATTAATTCCTTTTATTCAAAATTGTACCATTAGTTTTTTCTTTTTAATTCCGTTAATCTTATTGATCTTGCCTTGTTCCGGGTTTTAATATTTATGTTAGTGTCTTTTTTAACTATCGTTTTAGTTCGATAATTTTCAAGTGTTGTTTTTATTTAGATTAATACGTTTTCCTTTCATTTTACCGTTCCTTGTCATTTGGGTTCAATAAAACATCGATTAACGACACTTTTTGGTCGATCCAGAAAACCAGGAAATTCAGCGGGATAGCGATGGTCCCGAGCATCCCGGATAATTGGTTCTCTACTGTATTAAGTTATGTTAAATTCCTAGTAAAGTATGAAACCGTCATGCGCTTTTTCTTTTTAAATTTGATTCAATTGCATCTATTTTGAGGGAATGTGATAAATGCAGAGTTTTGCATTATAAGTGCTGTTAGTTAATCTTATGGTTTACTTCAATAAAAAAGCCTTCCTACTATTTGGGAAAGCATAATTTTAACTTGCATGTAACACTTTACAAAACAGGCACACATTTTTGAAAAAAAATTAAATCTATCACTCATCAATCAGTTGACCAAAAGGTTGTGGCATCACAGGTGAGCAACTTGTAGAAGTTTCATTCTTGAATGTTATGAATCTTGTTATATATTAAAAAAGAATGTTACATATTTTTCAATATGTAACATGTGTTTCATATTAAAATGTTAAATATTAAAAAAGAAGCAAAAATAAATTAAACTAATTTAATAGTTTCCCTATGCAATGCGAATAAATAGAGGCTAGTTACATTCAAGAAGGTCTGACCAAAAGCTGGAAATTACTATATATTTAACCTTGGTTTAGTTCTTTGTCTTCTGAGTTGGGTTTAAAATAACATATTGAAGCATTAAAACTATATTTCTGTACACAAGATTCCCTCTCTTTTAACAAAGCAAAAATTAAGTACTTTTGCGGACTTTTTTAAAAAAATTAAGGACTTTTTTAAAAAAATTAAGGACTTTTTTAAAAAAATTAAGAACTTTTTTTTAAAAATTAAGGATTTTAAAAATAGTATGATTGTTTATCATCAAATAAATATATACCACCACTGATAGTGCTAATTATTTAACTTTCTTAAAAAAATCAATTATAAAAAAATAATAAAAAACAATTTTATTATAATGAAGTACTGATAAAATTATTTTAATTAACAAGGCTCGCCAAAACCAGACAAGTTTTGCAAACCCGAGTCGGGTTTTTTAAAAACATTTTCAGATTGTTAAGGTTAACGAGATCTATAAAACTTATCTGTATTCCCTTTTTAATCATTTTATTGAAAATGAATTGTAAATTAGGTGCAGAAATTAAAATGTGCAATTTTTTTCATGCATTACAAAAAAGAGAAAATAAAGATATTTGGGAAAAATATTGAAAAAATTATTACAAGTTTTTATATTTTGCTACTAGACATGCATCACATATTCAGTTGTAGGCCAATCTTGGTAAATATTCAGTTGCGCCAAAAAAGCCTTTTTCTCTATTAACAAAATGTTTCTTTATAAGGGTATATATTGAAAAAATTAATACTAAGAAGTTAAATTAGTGTTATGCATGAAAGTAGTTTTCTTAACTATGTCATGTTAAATTAAATCCTATTTCATGTAAAAATGGGTCGTACTAATATTTAAGCACCTTAAATCATTTTTTCATCATTCCACTTTTTTTTCATAAGGCTTAACTTAATATATATTTTTTTAAATTCACTGCAATAAATATTTTAATAACATTTTTATAGAATGAAAATACAATTATGTTTAAGATTTATAATTTTCAAACCAATATGTTTTTTATTAGTTCTCGGTGAAACATATAAATAAAAGGGTATAAAATGATTTTCCATAGGTATCAACGCATTCCTATGGTCGGAAAATTGGTAAGGTTACTTAATTAAGAAATATTAATAAAAAAAATTTCATCATTTATAGATATTTACTTGTAATATTTTTTTTTCATCCTCTATCATTCTTAATATTATTCTCTACTATTATTATGATTTGATATTTTATTTTTATCCTGAATTAATAGTTTCGAAAAAATCTATTGAAAAATTTCATGAAAAACATATTGAAAACAATATGTAACTTAACCTTTTTAAAATAATTCCTCAACAGCAAATGTGTTATATTTACTTTACAATTATTTCCAGCTAAAACTGATATTAGGAATTAACTTTACATAGTATGGGGTGCGATAGTAGATATACCTCCCCGTGGTGCACCCTGGTAACGTCTTTGACGGCTAAAATATCTACTAATTTTGGCATGCGATTCGAAGTAATGGATAGGAAACACTTGATGGAATGTTCGGCTGTACACGGAGACTCCGAGGTGAACAGATATTGAAGTGCTAGGCATCTGCTAATGAGTTATTGACTTTTTTCTCTTATCTATGTTTATTCTTCTTGTTAAGAGTTTGTCGCTGTCTGCCATTAGAAATCAAAAAAAAAAAAAAAAATTACATAATATTACTAAACAATCTGACGGAAAGCATTTACTAAGTTTAAAACAACCAAAAGTTGAATAGAAATTAAAAAAAAAAAAAAAAAAAAAAAAAAAAAAAAAAAAAAAAAAAAAAAAACAGTATATTAAGTTGCAATGTTAACTGAGAAAAATGATTATTAAAATCTAAGTTTGAATTTTATTCCAATAGACATTAATAACAAAAAGTTTGGGATCTTCTGAGTAGATTTAAATTTTTATTTAACAATTTGCTTATCTTTAAGAAATAAAAACATTAGCGTAACAATCTAAAACTTTAAAAAAAAAAAACTACAGCAAAACAAGTTATAAATAGTTACCAAAAATTTAACTTTCCTGTTAGGAGCAAATCATGCATTATTTAGTACTCAGGAATAAAAATTTTAAATATTTTTGAAAAAATTCTAAAACCCAATAAATCTCAGGTTTTTGATGTAAAACCTAGGTGGGATGGGATTTTTCAAACCCTGTTTATTACATATCTGTTTAATTTTTAGTACAATCATGAATTATAAAAAATGCTGCTGCTTTTTATAAATTTGCAGTTACTTATTACACACTGAAGTATTATATAAATTTATTTCATTCTTCCAAGGTTTTTGAGAACTAGTTTTTGTTACGGATTCTAGTTCAAAAAAATTTCCTGATACTTCTTTTCGTAGGGTTTTACTTTATTCCTATTAGCAGATGTATTACCAGTAGAGCTTAATTTCTTGAATTCTGTCAATTTTGAAGGTCAGTGTGGATCACCTATTTAAGTGCCTCAGAACTGCTCCCCCCCCTCCAAAAAAGCACTATCTCTTCCATCCGCAGTATCCCCCTTGTCCACACTCTATTCTTTTCTTTTAGAATGTTACTCTTCTCAAAGATAACCATTCGAGGCAGAATACATTAATGAAAGAACCAATATATTAATAAAAGGACATGCTTTCTTCTCCTTGCCTGTAGCCCTCTCCCAGTCTTGTCTCTCTAAAATGCTTTACTCTCGGTGTATGGTCTAATTCTAGGTGATAAAAGAACAACTTTTTATTTTAAAACATTGAACTGAAAAAAAATTTTCTATCAACTATAGTGATATTGAAAAATTAAGCACTTTTAAGAACCTTGTACCAAAATTGAGTACTTTTAAGGGCCCTAATTTTACAAAATAAAAATTAAGCAGTTTTTAGGGACTTTTAAGAACCGTGGGAACCCTGGTACAGTTCAACTCCATTGCGGGTTTGGTCAGCCCCGGGAAAGGAATACCATGGGTACTAGCCAAAAGTACTCAATTAGAAGGGCATTAGTTCATCTTAAATGCTATGTTTCTTTTTAAAAATTTACTTTGAAATTGTATTGAATTATAATTAAAGTTGCTAGTGTTAATATCCTAAAACATAAATGAAGTTTAAATAAATAAATCAATTGCTATGAAATGTATAATGTGCACACAATAATGCTATTTAATTCCTTCTGAAGAAATACTGTTTTCACGCACATTCAACTGAACATTTTTCAACTCCTCACTTTTTCACATTCTAAATACTAAAATGGTGAAATGTGTCAAAGACACGTAGTCCTCCCTGCTCCTTTACTATAACTAACTCTTTAAAAAAACAACACTGGTTAGGAGCTAAAATGGATAAGAAATTCTTATTAAACTGACAATGTATTGTGTCCTCTTCTTAACTAAAAAAAAAGAAATACCATTCTAGCTAATGAAACATTGAATTTTTTTCCATCTACTTAACGCAATTAAGCGTGGACTAGCAACCATAGTTAATGATTCTCGCTAAGGTATTTAACATTTGTTACATATAAAATAATTTGGTTCCACTAGATTTTATTCATTCATATAAGTGGATTATCCAATTATCTGTTTATCAGTAAAGTGGCGATAACTGTAATAAAAAAATTTTACATTATTTTTACGAAACCTCTTTTTTACAATGTAGCACATTAATATAAATATCCAGCCTTTCACAAAACATTTAATATTAACACCTGAAGTAAGAAAAACAAAACAAACATTTTTAAAGCATACTTTCAAGTAGAAAAATGAATTTTTGAAGTGGCAGCTCAAATTATTTTTTATTTAATGTATTTCATTTATCTACTTTATCACCATTTTATTTTTTAAAAAAATTAGATTTAATATGGTATAACAGTGATTGATTAGTTATATTTTTGCTTTGTCGCTAGATTCTGCATAAATGCACACAAAAAAGCAAATTCGTATAATTTAGATCTAATGGTTAAATTTTTACATACTAGGACTCAATCTTAATGGTAGGATGGCATAACCTTAATTATGCCAATTAAATTGGGCAGATGAAAATATAAATTACAAAATCATTAAAAAAAATGGCTTTTTCTGTATGAATATGCCTTCTTTTGACAGATTTGGTAATTTATCCCTCAAAATGTGAACAGCAGTCACAATCTAGAAAATATAATCTCAATAGTTTAGCAGGGATGCCAACTGCTCCTCTTTCAGCAATCTACTTAAAAGAGTGGTAGACTCATTAGCTTTTCATTAATTCTGCCAACATTTTCAAAATTCCTACTATGAGAATGCAGACGCTAGGTAGCTTTTTCGTTCAGATTTATTCATATGTACTGGTGGAAAAATAGCATTAAATTAAATTTTCTAAACTATGAATCACACATTCATACCTGCCTATTTGATAAAAACAAAGATAGGTTCACAATGAATATCACACCTTTAAAGTGACTAATTCAAGAAAAAACTTCTTACAAGAATCACGATATCGGATTTCTAAATCACGGGAATAGGAATCGCGGTGCACGATTTTTAAATTGCGTGAATACGACTTGCAACATGTAACTTTTAAATCAAGTATGTACGAAAACCAATGCTTGATATTGAAATCATGAGAACAAGAATTGTTATGAGCAGATTCCAGAGCAGTTCCGAAGATTCAAAATAAAATTCGCCAAACCAGGAGCACCTAATTGGAGGAAGCATCATAAGTATGTAAACATCTCAATAACGGGATTTAGCAAGAGTTTCAAAATTTAGTCGGATTATAATTAGTCAGATCATAGGTTTTGATTCGTGGAAATCTGCAAATCAATGGTCTTGAGATATGCGAAATTCTGCCAAATTCATGGAAAAATCACATGCACTGTTTCTAGTTTTTAGATCTGCCCTAGGTTGAAAGAAAATCAGTATCAGGAGAGATAATAGAATGCCAAGAAAAACAGAACATTTTGACCTAAAATCGTATGTTTAGAACAAGGCTAAAAAATTTAAACAAATGTGATTTAATCAGAACAGTTAGCAGCTATGCACATTATAATATAATCTTTGCTACTACTAAAACAGTTTTTTCTGTAAAACAGTGCAAGTTGGCTCACTAGTTTAGGCAGTTGAAAATTTGGGCCCCTTAATGTTTATTTCAAACTATTTGAATAATACTTTTTAAATTTTGGATTTTGTCATTTAAAATTAAATAGATTGATAAAACAAATTGCACGTCTTTGAATTAAAAAATCTTTCAGCTATTAGTAAATTAAATATTTTGAAATAATAATTATAAAAATTACTTTTTCAGATGAAATTATCTTAGGATATAATTGTGTACAAAAAAAATTTTTATTTACCTCATTTAGTTCCACAGATATAAGGAAGCAAGCAAAAAAAGAGATTAATATTGAGCATAAACTATTGGAACTTAATTTTCCAGACTCCCTCATTTTGAAGGCAAAAAATCTAAATCTGTCAACAACAAAAAAATTTTTATTCAGAAAAAGATTTTTGTGTCGTAGCTTAAATATTGACGGCACAATTCAAATAATATATTTAAAGTTAAGCCTTCGAGTCATTGAGAATAAGTCTGATCAAAAGGTTGTTCAGGGTGTTCATTTTTTTTTCTATTTTTATTTTAACAATGTAACCTAGAAACTCTTCTTCATAGTTTTCTCATATGGTTTAAAAGAGATACTGATCTCTGTAAATTAAAAAACATGCAAAACTGAAATTATACTTCAGTTTAAAAATGTAACTGTTACGTAGTTACGTGAACTCAGCATTTATATGCTACTTTTCTATTTATTAAAAGCACAAAGTAAAAAAGTTGTCAAAATATGCAAGTTTTGTAACGTGAATAATTTTATAACATATAACAATATTGATTATGTAACAAATGATATTAAAAAGAGTTACCTGCGTTGCAGTTAAAATTTTCACTTAATAGAGGCGATTTTTTCCACAGGTACGCCGTCGAAGATCAGTTTTACCACTTCATTTATATACATTTTTCTCCCTCCTTCTGTCTCTATTCTTCCAGGATAAGATTGGAGTTCTGCAGGATTTGTGAGTTCATACTTAACTCTTTCTTCTTCAGTCATTCTTTCTTTATCTGAAAACAAAAAAAATCTGTCATTATTTTAAAGTCATTTACTAAACTACATTTTAATTGGTAGAGTAAAACATTCCTGCAAGAGTGCGGTGTAAGTCAAGAGCATCACGGATGTTAAGGTTCCAAAATTTCATGACAAATATCATAATTGTGCCAATGTCGTCAGATTGTGGGATTGGGCACTAATTACCTTTACTTCCCAGGCTAGTTTGGCTCCCCAGACAGCTTGAAGCTGGCGAGCTTCAAGTTCTATAGAAGATTAAATCCCAGGCCTTGACAAACAGCTCGTTACCATTAACACCAGAGTCATCCTGTCCCAATAAACAGAATCAGTTATCATAAAATAACTTTTATCTTTGTTAACAGTATAAAGTATAACTCACTGCATTTTAAAGGGTGTCCCAAAATTCATGAAAGATTAGAATGCGGCCAATGATAAAAAGGGAGGGGCAGACGATAGTTCAATGTTATTAAATATGGGGTGCATTGGTTATGTCACTTCTTGGTAATATAATTTTTTGTTTAGAAATCAGAATTAACCCCTACATCATGCTGTTGTTAAATGTCCAAAAAAGTCCCATTTTTGCTTCCTCTTAGATAAGCTACAGATGTTGCATCATTTGGGCAATGATTTTCCAAAAAGGGAATATTCTTTATAATAATTGAGTAATTACTTGAAAGGACAGTGAAGATTTCCTTTTCATTTGCTTAAATAGCACTGTGTGCTTCATGTACATTGTTTGTAGGACATTGTGAGTATACAATAAATAATTTTCAACTTATATTTCAATAAATCTTTATTTGCTTGCATTGCTCTTGTATTCCTTACTTCAAGTAACGACACACATAATCCAAGTTATTGGGTTTTTCTCCAATGGTCTAATGTATATTACAAGCCTTTAACCACCTACAGCTTGAAGAAGAAAACAAAATGTTGTATCGGTTGAATTTAAGCTACCATTACGTATAAGGGCAATTTTTCAACCATCATTTTCCAGGTGGCCACTCAAACTAGGTTTCAAATTTCCCTGATTTTTCCAAGAAAAGCTCTTATAAATTAAAGGTCAGAGTGTCTTTATTTTTCCCTCATAAAATGTAAGATGGGTACAAGAAAAGTGTTATTATAATTCTGCTCATTAAACAACAGCATTCTGCTCATTAAATAATAAATTCTTTTTAGTACATTGCTTGTATATACATCATCAATAGGTCATCATAAATGCTCAAAACTGTGAGGTTTGTCATAGATCTACATAACATCATCCTTAATTAAAAAAAAATAACTCTACTTTTTTAACATACAAAACATCATTCTTTTCTAAAATAAGAGCTCTACACCGTTTTTCATGTTTATTAATGTCTACTACTTTCTTTAACTGATACTTGAAAAACATGCATAAACCTTACATAATAATTAAGTTTGTTAAAGCTAAATTATTTCATAAGGTACCATTAGCGAAAATGTCTACAGTAATAATATATTAATAGGCTGCCATAAATGCTTAAAATAATGACATACATCGCAGAACACAGACCTGCCAACCTTAGAAAATAAAAAAGCAGGAGACTCTTTCTGTATCACGACATAGCGCAATATTGAAAATTAAACCTGATTCACACTTCCTACAAGAAGTTTATTTCAAAATATATTATTTACATTACATAAAATAGACCACAATAAGATTCTGACACTGACTAATAAAGATACGTGTTCTTACTATAAAATATAAGGTTCTATAGAATTATATTAAAACATATCTTTTGATTTTTTCAAATTTAGGAAGAAGTTCAAAACTAACAAAATATGTCAATAATGAATACAATACTTTATAAATGCATTTCTTAATTTTTTTTTAACTGCTACTGTTTTAAAACTGCAGATGTTGCTGATTTAGCATTATTTAAAAAAAAA